TTTCAAGAAATATTTAGTTTTAATAAATATCCGAAGCCGTCAAAGTCAGCGACGAGTAATGAAATGGGAATAATTTTCTGAAACGTGATTTTATTCCAGATTTGCTTCGGAAGAAGACATCTTTCTGTCCGTATAGCATGGATATTAATACTCATCACAAGACAGTATCTGATTGATCTCAATTATGGTACATGACATGTAAATATGTATAATGTTTATGTGAAATAAAAATGTTGCATAACTTGCAGTTGTTATTATCATTCAATGATATTAAAATGACATAAAGTATTTATGATGAACAGTCCTAGAATATTTTGATAAGGAACAGTCAGTTGTAAAATGTTAGTGTTATCTTATAATGAACAGTCGTCATACTTTCTGGTATGTCATTTATTATTGACAGTTTAGGTTTTTCAAAATTTGCAGGATTAGCAGTCCGAATGTAGACCTCAATGAAATGTTCTGGAATATTAACAAAATGAATAGTCAGCCATATTAACCATATATATGAATGGTTGAACACAACCAGTAAGGATAAATGACACAATGTGCATATCTTCTTATTTTGGTAATAATTGAAATAACAGCACATTTTAAGCAAAAAGAAAAGAAACTATAAGTCTGAAACATTCTGTCATAGCCTCCCCATCAGTACATTCAGTGCTTTGATTTTCTAAAGGTAGACAACAAATGTATAATTTTACTTTCAAAAACGAACCTATCGAGGCAGTAAATGAGTACAAATATCTTGGAATTTATTTTAGTAAAACAGGTTCTTTTCTAAAATGTAAAAAACATATCGCAAGCCAAGCTACAAGAGCCATGTATAGTTTAGTAAAACAATCTAATCGTCTCAATCTTCCAATAGATTTACAAATTGAATTATTTAACAAAACAATTAAGCCGATTTTACTGTACGGTGTAGAAATTTGGGGATTTGGTAATCTCGACATTATTGAGCGAGTACAACTAAGGTTTTTAAAAATTATTCTTAAATTAAAAAGTCAACAGCAAATTATTTTGTTTATGGAGAAACCGGTTGTGTGCCTCTAGCTATTGACATCGAAGAAAGGATAATATCATTCTGGTCAAAATTAGTATGCAAAAACGACGGTGTTAACGTTAATAATAAATTGTCAATTCTTGTCTATAATAGCTTACTACACTCAACAGATGGTTTAAGTGATAATTTGCTTAAAAAGAAATTCCCATGGTTTTTTAATGTCAAAACTATTTTAATCAAATGTGGTCTGTCACAAGTGTGGCTCGACAACACATTTACAAAATCTGAGTGGCTCAAACTTTCTGTTAAACAAAAGTTAAAAGATCTTTTTTTAAATGAGTGGTATTCTTAAATTGAAAATTCGAGTAACAGTATGTTTTATAGAGTAATTAAAAGAACATTTGGATTTGAATCGTACTTGGTTAATTTAGATAGTTCATTACTGTACCATTTTATTAAATTTCGAACAAGAAATCATCGATTTCCAATAGAAACTGGTAATTGGTCCAGTACTCCAATTAACCAAAGATTTTGTCCTAATTGTCAAAATAAAATTGGTGACGAATTTCATTATTTACTTGAATGTTGTCAATTTAACGTAGAAAGAAAACGATTTTTGAAAAAAAGTATATTATCAACGGCCAAACATTTTTAAATTAGAAAATCTTATGTGTACTAAAAACAAATCTGAATTTCTCAAATTGTGTAAATTTGTTAAATGTATTATTGAAAAGATAAGAACTTAACTATTCACTGAAAATACTTATGTTATTTATATTACATTAGTTCTTATTTTGTAATTACTGATAAGCATGTTTTGTTTGTCACCTTTTGTGTGCCTCGTATGATTATATAATTTATTGTAAATTCCTCATATTTGCATGTATACATGAATTGAGAGAAATAAAGATTATGATATGTTATGTTGTGTGTAAATCGCTAACTGAGCGGTTACGAAACAGTAACTGTCTGATTTGTTTTTTATGTCTCTTTCACAGTTTGATTTACATTTCTTTCTTTAAAACATTAATTTAAAAAATGTATATTATTTTTTATAATTATGTTTAATAATGACTAAATGACTATTGATACTGCATTATCTTTTCAGGACTTTACAACCGGAACATATATATTGTAAAATATTATTTTGTAAACCCCTTATGTATTTTATTAATACCTGGGTGAATAAAGATATTTGAATTGAATTGAATTGTTTATTATGTCTCTTTTCACAGTTTGATTTACTGTAAAGCATATATGATACCGTTTAATATTGATGCCAAAATCTGGATATACGATAACTGGGATATACGATAACTTATCGTATGTCCCAGTAATCGTATGTCCCAGCCAAAATGCACAGGTAAAATCGGTATGAATAAAAACACTGATTTTTTATAATGCGTAGCTTTTATATATTGATTTCCATATGTAGAAATTTATTGACTTTTTGTGTAATAAACAAACTTACTCGGTCCGTCAATATGCCAGTTTATTTGGTAACTTTATTAATGTACTAATTAAATAGCTCTAAATTAACATAAAATTAAATGGACAGGAAGCTTGTCTTAGGTAAATGGTGGACTTCGCAGGCATCTTCGCGTGAAACTGATGACGATCGCTGATTGGCTTATCTACGTGGCCCCTGGCAGCTTGATTGACAGGCGGCGTTATGTCAATTTTCAATGACTGCATGTTTATATTTGATACAAAATAACTACTTGTATGGCTTTATGCTACGCACGCCTTACGGCACACTTGTTTTCATCCCTTATTACTTAATCGCTACATCTTAAAAATCTGTATGACACCGGTTAGATTACCATTTGAATATATTACCGTTTAATCTTATAAATAATGTTTATTTTTGTTTGTTTGTTTTGAAAAAAAATTCAGTACTATTTTTTCATCCGACAAAGATAACAATAGAAAAATGAAACAATTTCCTTTATTGGAACTGCTTGGTTTTATCCATTATATGAATAATATTAAAAATTTGTTTTCTATAAGGTTATTATTACAACTAAACGAAGTGATCAACATATTGTTTGTTTGTCGAAAAAAAAAACCTTACCGCGGTATTTATATTTAATGAAATCAAATAAGTTATATACTTCAAAACCAGGAGAGACTTGCCATTTAGCATGTGGAATTATTTGAATGTCAAAAATAGACTGGATGAGACAGAAAAATACAGACAGGATACCGGCGAAGAGTACATCCAAGCATTTTGGATTGTTTTTAATTTAAATGTATTTTGGTGATTATATCGTTACATATGATACTTTCCTGCATTCATTCCTGTCATATTCCAAGATAAAATGCCAATGCCTGTTTTGTTATAATTATTATTTTCATTTATATTATTATTATTATTTGTATTATTATTATTTGTATTATTAGTATTATTAGTATTATTATTATTATTATTATTATTAATTATTATTATTATTTCTTCTTCTTATTATTATTATCATTATTATTAATATTATTATCATCAATATTATTATTAATCATTAATATTATTATCATTATTTTTTTATTAATATTATTATTGTTATTATGATGATTTTTATTTTTTTATTATTATTATTTTTATCATTATTATTATTTTTATTATTATTACTATTATTATTATTATTTTTATTAATTATTATTATTTCTTCTGCTTCTTACTATTATCATTATTCTAATCATAATTATTATTATCATCAATATTATTATTAATTAATATTATTATTATTATTATTATTATTATTATTATTTATTATTATTACTATTTTTAATATTATTATTATTATTATTATTAGTTTTATGATTAATATCTTTTTAAAAAATAATATTATATTACTTTGATAATTTTTTTTATTATGATAATACGAATTATTATTTTTTTAATTATTATTATTATTATTATTATTATTATTTATTTATTTATCTATTATTATTATTATTATTATTATTTTGTTGCATATTCCCAGCCATTTTATTTGTTTTTTGGATTTGATTTTATTCGTATATCTTATATTATAGGTTATAAGCGCCACACCTAATAAATAGAACACTCTCCCATTTGCAAGGAATGGGAATTATCTCCCATTATTAGAAATGGGATTTTCTCCCATGTATCAACATGGGACTTTTCCCCAATAATCAGGATGGGAGATTTCAGCCATTGTTGGATTTGTCCCGCAACGAATTTTTAAACATTACTTTTTATGTTTTTATATAAAGTATTTGAAGACTACAATAATAGCTTTCTTGCATAAAATTTAATTCTTATATTTTTCTAAATCTCCCATTATTTTTATCTCCCATTTTTATAGAATGGGGGTAAAACCCCATATGGGATAGCAAACTTCCAGTGGGAGAATGATAAAACCTCATGGCGGACTGAACTTTGATTGTCTCCCCAGCACTCATTGTTAGGGGTATGTGAAATTTAAAGACCAGTTTTTGTTTAACTCTATACCCATTGTTAACTGAACTTTTCATTTATTCTCTAATTACTTGAGAAAGGGTAGCTGAGTTTGCGAAAATCCCGGATTTGCAAACTTATTCCGGAAGCTGTTTATATCTGATTTACAAAACTTTAAATACATGTGAGCATACTTCAATTCTTGATTTTATCATATGGAAAAGGCATGCAGCTAAAAGTAGCAAACTTAGGGGATATTATGGCTTTTTTTTATTAAGGTTCATAGAAAAGTTGTTGAAGCAATAAATGTTACATACCGCATGCATTTAATAAAACTGATAAATAAGAGGGTGGGTTAATTTGCATAACTTTAAACGGTTAATTACATGTATACGTTTAAAGTACATAAAGTATCTTTGTAAGTAAACTGTTTATTAGTGATACAAATTTTCTTTATCAACAAAACATTGTTCACAAATGTCAACACGTTATCAACCCTATATTACATTAGTTCAAAAAACATTTGCGTAATAACTAAAAATAGATCCTACATAGAAATTGGGTACTAGTATATGAAATCCCTAAACCGCTACGAATCAATATTTTTGGAGTTTCTATATTATTAGATAAAATGGAGTTTACTGTATTGATTGGTACAACAGTTGTGATTTTAATTTCTTTAGGAAATATGAATATAAGTTCAGGTACATTATTTCCACTAGTTAATTTTCAACAAAAAGAAACTTTTTAAAAAGTCGTATGTCGTGGCGCTAACTAAAGCTCAAGATCTCTATAACATTTTTAAAGTGTTAATTATCATTTATTTATTTTGATGCTTATTACATATAAATCGTTTAAAAGAACTGCTAACTAACTTATAATAGAATCTACTACTGTTTTATATGGATATAAACTTTCTCTTAAAAAAGTGCAATTTTTAAGGATCCCAACATCTTTATTTATAGCACAATCTTAGTTTTCCATTAACTAAACATAGATTCCCAGATCTAGTTAAAAAGTTATACAGTTTATTTAAGAATTTAGTAAATCTGTATGTCTAGTTATCATTAGGGGGTAACAATATTCTTAAAGTTTACCGTAACTCAGCAAATCGAAATTTGACGTTTATCTGTGAACAGAAATACTATTATGTATGACCAATACACATTTAAGTTCTGAATTTGTGCCACTTATACGCCTAACAACAGTTTTCTTGCAAACACGATTCTTCAGAACTATATCACAAAGTTTTATAAAGGCAAGTCACTTAAATTTTGATTTTGTAAACAAAATTATTATTCTAAATTAATACTAGCGATTTCAAGAATTGACAGACAGAAAGATTGGGGTGATTTTCATAATCTTTTAATATAATGTGAGATTTCGAATCTATTGCAAGTTAGTTTAGTTTAGCTTATTAATAAAGAAACATTTTGCAATTTTCTTTTAGGCACTAAGGATGCCGATGAGAAATTATCATGTAACCCGTATAGCGCTCTTATCATATGGTACACTGGTAGCGGAGAAGATAATTCCTTTTTTCAACAGAGAAGATTGTTGGTAGTGTTAATAAGTGACTTTCCTGAAAACACAAGTGTATCAATCGTCACAATTGGCGCTAAAGATGATATAAGACTACAGTTTAGAAAACAAGATAGAATTACGAATTGGAGAGACAAAATTTTACATCATGTGCCGGGAACGGCATCGAATCATACATTACCTTACACAGAAATACAAAAGGCAATACTATACCATAAGACTAATTCTAGTGAAGCAGAACTTGTTTATCTTCTAGTTAATGGCAAAACTGTAATACGCGATGTAGGAAACAATGGTATTAAAGAGCTTCGGAAAAAGAAAACGTTTGTTGTGTTATGTGAAATTCAAACGGAAAATAGATCACACACGTGGTTAAAATTTGCTAGCAATGAAAATTATTTTATCGCATTGGACAGTATAACAGGAGATGTCAATAAAACGAAGGAAATAATTCTGGCCAGGTCCTGTCAAGGTGAACATTATTATTAGTATTATAAAAGTACTTTAATTTGGGAAATGAGTAGAAAAGTTGTTTCTTAATTTTTATTGCTGTTTATAATTTGCTTGAAACACTTAGCAACCTTCTCACTTTCTTTTCTAAAGAGATTGATAAATATTGACACACAACACATTGTACATGGTTTCTTTTATAGATTCAAAATTTGTCTGCGACACTGACATGTACTGGTCAAGTGACAGGAAAGGATGTAATGCATGCACATATATATGTTCCAGTACCTGCAAGGTACAACCGGAGTATTGCTTTTATGCGTGTCCATGTATGTCTACTTACATTTCATTTTTTATATTTACCTGTCAAGTTATTTGATTCATCAATTGACCGAACAAAACAAAGCAAACATAAAAACAACAACAGTAAAATTGTTTAGTTTTCAGATATTTCTACAACAGCAGGTGTCAAGTCCCTTGTGGCAGCTGTAAAAGTACTTCACTTCAGCTTTGTTTTATTTTTCCGGTCCTTCGGATCATTGATTCCAGCACATTTAAGTGTTGAAAATTGAGTTCCACTCAAGCCAGTGGTAGGGCGCTTGAGGGATATAGCACTTTTTCATTATTTATCATGTACAGACCCATTCAAACCGAGTCTGCAATTTTCATGTAACTTTGCTGACTTAAATGTTTCAAAAGGACCACTCCAGGTAATCATGTCATGATTTAAGTGGATGTTTGAGAATTGCTTTATTATATCAAAGGAAATCGTATGATTTTATTTATTTTTACAGAAAAATATTAAGGCTTTTTAGATAATTGCAATTATATGTTTTGTATATATTTTTCTCTGTTTTGCAGTTTTTCACAAATATAAGCTTGCAAATAATATTAACAAGGACAAGGATTACACAAGTGAGCCATTACAAGAACATGCTAGGGAAGCATCCGACAATAACTCTTGGCTAATTATTACCCTGGTTGGCATTGTATGTATACTAGTATTAGCCACAGTTGCCCTCGTATACAAGAAAAAGGAAAAGTTATGGAGCTTCAAACACTATGTATGGAGTTTTAAAGAAAGAAGAAAATTCACAGAAGACGAGGTCAGTGAGCTCAATGAACAGCAAAACAATTGAAAATATAAAATGTCATCTACTGAATCCTATCATAGACGCCAGCATGAGTTACAACGTAACTCACACAGTGTCATTTAACCGGAACTGACTGTATTACATCAACACTGACCTTGAAATTGTGATTAATGTAATGTAGTGATGGGAATTCTGATAAACATATATTGGTTTAAACATATTTATATAAGCCCTATTTCGAAACAAGTTTTTGCAACTTAAATTAATCACTTTTGAGTCCGCTTCCTGGAACCAACCAGTGCTGGTTCCTGTCCGTGCTCTGCCTTGTGCCCTGTCCCGTTTTTGTTTTGGGTACGTCTTGGCTTCTTGCTACTGGTTCTTGTTGCTGGGTCGTGTTGGGGTTGCGCTCAGCGAATGCCGCCTTTCCTTGTTGATCTTGTTAATCATATTTCATATAAAGAAACAGGGTCGTGAAACGATTAACCACAAGGCCACCGTTCCCCTAACATATTTTAATAAATTAAAGCTTCGACCGTGGCGTGCCATGGTCAGTACTTTTCGGAGTTGGAGGTAAAATGACGTCATAAAGTGAATAGCGGTTAATTCCTGTAGGGTAAGTCACATCTATGTTTATTTTTCATAACATTTAGATAGTAAATTCGTTTAAATGTGCTGTTTGTCTGCAAAAATTGTAAAATGTGTTGTCAAACCGAACTTCTGTTAAAATAAAAATGCATTATTTAGGATACAAAATGTCTTTAGTTGTCTGCAATGAGTTAATATTTAACATTATAATGTTCGCTGAATGAACAAAATTGTAAACTAGACTTTAGAATATGTCCGCAGCTATTCACAATACTTATTTCTTTAGTATTTATCAGTTTATGTTTCTCTAAATATCACTACTATTAGTTCTTAAGTTACAATTAAGGGTTAGGGTTGGTGTTACATAGATCAGGCTAAGTGCTATGGGTTAGGGTTAGAGGATTAGTACACATGAATTTTACTGCGGACAGATTCTGTTAGCATACATTAAATAAGGCGTATCTTACTCCAGTGTCGTTTTAGTTTTGCAGTTGGCATTCACTAAGGTTATTACGCTAGATAAGCAGTTGACATTATTTAGTAACACTTTCCATCAGATAAGCGAGTAAACCTAGGCTTAATAGCAATTCGTCGCCTATTAAAGTTATAATTCGCTGTCTACCAATGATTACTTAGTAGACATCTTTATACATTATGTTTCTTTACTGACATACAGGCGATTGAATATTTTAAATGACAGGTAAATACAAAATAGTAGAGTTACTTGTAAAAGTAAAAAAAAGCTATATATCAATGAATAATATAATAGCTTATTGAAATAATAAACAATTGATAGTTATTTATCTACAAAAAAAGTTTACTGCTAATTAAACACATTGTATCTTGTTAAATTGACGGATACGAAAGCTGTTATATTACAGTACTATTATTTTAGCTATAGTCATTCTGTTTAATTGGATATCGTTTGAAAATAAAATCAAAACGCCCACAATTAGAAAAAAATGTTGTTATTTTAGATCACATTGTTGCATTTATGTGACCTGATTGTAGATAATTTATAATTATTATTATAATTATTATTATTATTATTGTTGTTGTTGATATTTATTAAGAACTGTACTTAGTTAAGATCTGTATGCAAATAACTGTTACATACCTCATGCATTTAAAATATGTTATGTAATATTGTCAATAAATTTAACGAAAGAGTAAATATTTTTATATTCTCTATTTATAATCTCCTCAGAAATACAAGGTTTTAGATGTTTTATTTATTATTAAATGTTTAAACGTAGGCCTTCCTAAGTATGCCTTTTATATACCAGTCGAAGGACGATTTTTATTGACGGTGTTTCATTTTCTTTACTACGACATTTCTATAATATTTGTGACAGAATTATGACCATATTTATACAGGTTTTGAAAAATAACTTGCATAACTTTCTTGACACTTATCAACCGCTTGGGTGACGAACATTTGTGGTACCAAAAACACAAAAATAAAAAGCTAAATTTATACTACTTGCATTACATATTGACCCGCCCCCGAAATGTCTTTTACACATTTTCTATAAAAAGGAACTACGAAGCAGGGGTAAATATCTAATAAGATTATATCATAGCCTTACGTTTCAATACAAATTTTGTAGCAACAGAGATAGTAATGGATATCAAAAAATTTGTATCCTCTCCCGTTTTTGGTTCGGCGCCTTTTTGGTGCCCTTTGCAGAACTGTATACGTTAGAACCATCATCTCATTTTAATCGATCCATTCAAAACCTTTTCTTTATAAACGATAAGGTCTGATATATATTTTGTTTCTAATAAAAATTTGCTTTTCTGAGGCACATTTTGTTTTTGAAGATGGCTCGCGGTAAAATGTTGTTACAAATCTTCAAAATCGGCAAGAAAAATGAAAAAGAAAAAAATGACCACAAGTTTATTGAATTATCCTCTTAGGAACACTTTTAACATCTTATTATAAGTTTAAAGTAAAGTCTCACTTTAAGAAATATGTTTAGTATTGTCAATAATTTATTTTACCAGAATCATCATATTTTCTGCAAATGTCACCATAACAACCTTACAAATTAACTACATTGTAATTACAAGAAAAGCATTGATGCAAAGCATCAAAGGGCGACGCCAAAAGAATTTGATCCAGGTTTGCACCTAAATACTTAACAAAAGATGTGTACTTTATAGCAGTACCATGTCATGTGACCTGGAGGCTAGGCCCAGTTTAAGTTGAAACTTAAACCAAAAAGAATAGACTCTGTCTTGCCAAGATGCAAAGACAATTTATAGTCAATAAACCAATCTTAAGATTTACTTTACCAGATACAAGGATACCTGAGTCATCATCATATAATCACAGGCACTAGTATCGGACCTGGGAAGAAAAAATATGACCAGATTGATAAAAAAACTGTTTTCATCTTAAAACCAAAGAAAAACAAAAACAAAATGTAAATAATAACCCCCTTTAAAAATATACTATTAACTTAAAGTATATTTTTAAAGGGGGTCATTATTTACAATTTTTTTTTGTTTGTGACACTTTTAAGATGATCACAGGTTTTTTTTTTATCAATCTGGTCATATTTTTTCTTCCCAGGTCTGATATTTGTGCATGTGCATATAATAAAAGCTTATTGCTTAGGGTTGCAGACATGTCATTTACATAATTATATTAGATATAAAAGAGGACCCAAAATGAACATCAGGGGGACACCAAAGGTACTCAGAGCAGTAGTAGGAGTACCAGCCACATTAACCAGCTGCTATCAGAGATAAGACTTGAACCATGTAAGAATGTCATTACATATGGCAGATGCTTGAAGTTCCATGAAGAAGAAGAAAAAGTATAGTGTGTAGCTTCTTTCCGGCCACCATCATCCTCTGGAATCACCTACCCATACAAGTTGTTGAGAAACCAACCTTGGAGGGGTTCAAGTCGGCGCTGACAAAACACACAACCACCAACTAGACACATTGCCAGTTTTTACCAGATTTTAAAAAGATGTAAATAGACAATTTTTAACTGTAAAGAGGAAACCAATTGCTGCGCATGTACATAGTTTTAGTTTCATCGCGATTATGCTCTATGAAGAGTGAGGCGATTACTGAAGATGATGATGTATCAACTGTATCAAATGCTTTTTGTAGATCTAAAAGTATCATGCAATACTGCCTTTGTCCATTTCAAATTAAATGCAATCTATTAAATGAATCAAACATGTGTCAGTTGAAAAACCACTTCTAAACCCTGACTTAAACTGCCTGACCATGACTCGAACCCATGACTTTCAGAAGACCAACTGAGCTATCCGGCCGGCTACACATTTTGTCTTTAAAAATTAAACAGTCCTAAACCTAAACCTATTTCCCCACTATATTGATTCATGTCCTTGAATTTCTGATGTTTACAGAGCATAGTGAATTAAACTCATGTTTATTTGCAGTCAAAGGATGAGAAAAACTTTCAGCTTGACCAGAACTCAAACCTGTGACCAACAGAATAATGTACCGCGGCTGTAGCGATTGAGCTTTGTATGCACATAGCATTAATAATTCCCAGTTTCTATTAAATAAATATGAAATCCTAACATTAACATTAACATTGGTACTAATGGATGGAATTCAAAATCTAGTAGAAAGAAAACTATAATATATAAACTCTATTATAGATACTATTATTAGCCAGCTAACACTGGGTATAAACATCTATAACCTGTAGACTGATCAATACATGTATTATCATTTATAAATTTAAATGCAAGTCTCATCCATCATAACTGTAAGTCTTTAAATACAGAAATACACATTATATCCATATACTATGATACACTTGTATGCACATTACATTAATAATTCTCAGGTTCCATTAAAAATAAATATAACATCCTATTAACATTGGTGTTTGGATGGAATTCATAATCTTGTAGAAAGAAAACTATAATGTACATGATATTGTATAGTATAAAAGTAAAAAAAAAATCCCAATAGTCTATATCATATAATAAAGATTAAATTGTGTGAGTGTCTAAACATTAAATGCCTATCTCTTACAGTAACAAATACTGTCTTTCTTTTAACCTTCCTTTAGTCTAACTGCATATATATATCAAGTGTTTAAAATGAGCACCTATATGTATAGCTTAAATATTCTACCTTTCATTTTCACCAAAGGTTATTTTATTAACAATTTATATACAAACACATAGAAAATAATAATTTCACATATTGATTGGAAGATTCCTCTAGCAGAATACCTAGGTATGTACTAACTGAACAAACTAGAAAAATCTGGTCTAGGGTATATAACGCCAGTAAAAAAAATATATATCAATATTCACTCATCAGGGCATCTATGCTTTTGATGACCTTACAACTGGTAATTTTATAAAACAAAAATAGTAAGTAATAACTAAGATAGACAGAAAATAACAAATAATTTAGTAAACATGAGTTACTTCCCCTTAAAATAGAAAAAAACCTGAAACCCAAAAAAAAACACCCTAAACATCAAATAATTAAGAAATGTTGCAGGCAAAGTTTTATTATGCCATGCAAATTAATGGTAAAGTATTCATAAAAAAAATAGATGGCCATGTGACAGCAGTAATTGCAGAAAATCGGAAAGCTGTCATCATCCGGATACTGGTACACTTTGTAAAAACAACCATTATGTGCAACAGATAAACGTAAAATGGATAAAATCAATAGCATAATCGTTTACAACAGTCCATTACCTATCCTTATACTCATTTGCAGTCGAACTTTCTTCTTGTAGGAAAATTTTGAAAATATATAAATGAATGAACGAATGGATACGGCATCAATGTAGACCACAACGATATTCGAAATCCGGGTTTTAGTATTGTCAATAAAACTTAGGGCCAAGCTGTTAAACTAAGCCTGCAATTTCGTGAAAATAATATCACAATGCACGTGCCTTTTATATAAAGTTATTAAATACAAATATAACAACATATTTGTTTACTTGATGTTTACGAATCAAAATAAATCTAATTAACACAACATGAAATTAACTGCTAATAATAACAGCTCCTTCCATAGGCCAAAATAAAAAGCATTCCATAAGAGACGACGCCGCTCACCGGCGTCGCCAATAAATGTTTATAAATTGGATTTATCACCCATGCATATGGATGCCGCTCATGTTTAAAAATACACAATTGTAAAACCCTTTAACTAATTATAGATAATTTCAAAAGCTGGTATTAAATGAAGAAAATAAATAATCTCAAGTTCACTTATGTTATCACTACGAACAAATATATTTTTTTCGATTTTCTAAATAAGTTACATTTGGACACATGATAACAAGTTCAGGTATTTTATTTCACTAGTGGATTAAAAATACACAACAAAACACAAATATAGTATTATACGCTGAATGAAGTTGCATTGAATCAAAATACAATGTTCTGTTTTGTAATTTAATGCTTCTTTCTTAGCGGAATACGACAGTTTTTTTTCTTAGCGGATTACCACAGATAATGTATAAAATATGCGCAGGTAATCCTGATGTTAACAAATAGATATTAAAAATAGTTACAGTTTTATCTTGTGGAAAGCCACAACTATATCACTTGGAAATCCAAAGTCTAACTGTCCAAATTAATATTTTATCCTTACAATATTTCTAAAAATGGATAAGTTTTAAACTGACCTATTGAATTTTAACTTCTTAAAACCGCCTCCGTGGTCGAGAGGTTAGAGTCGACGACTTCTAATCCAGTTACCTCTCTGGCGTGGGTTCGATCCCCGGGAGATGCTTTGGTAGTTTAGCGCGGAGGAAGGTAGTCTAGTACTGGTGTATCTCTCCAGGAACGATGGCTAGGAAACTACCCGCCTATATGACTGAAATACTGTTGGGAAAGGCGTAAAATCAAACAAACAAACAAACAAACAAAAACTTCTTAAAATACAAAATGACCTATCAGTTTAAATACAAAATAAGGTAGCATAGCAACATGGGATTCATAATTTTACTTTACAACAATCACCACATGGATATTTTATCAGTCATAGGTTTAACAAGTTAATAAATACAGACAGCTAAATCGACATTATCACCTGAGTATAATAAAACTTTTAGCACATTTGATTGGACAAAGAGGAAAAGCCACATTTAATCTTCCGGTTACATAATTATTTATTAGACATCTGTAATAAAAACATTAACTATTTGTAACTTAAACATATTTGAAATTTCACACATTTTTGAACATATAGTCTTTTTAGATAATTTTAAAAGTTAAAAGCATGCATATTTATTCATAAGTTTTTCGTTAAAGAATTTCTTGGTTTTTCGGCTGCACAACAATAGTACAAATACAAAAAGTCAAATATCGTGGCGCTTTTTAAAGCACAAATAAAGAATCAATTCCTTTACGCATTAATTACAATGGATAAGCTTCATGCTCCTTTAATTAAACCTCTTTAGGGAACTATGTCACAGAATGTTACCATTAATTTAAAGAGAAAGTAAATGTTTATTATCCATATAAAGACTGAAATCCCAACATCTATATATAGCACACTACACACAAAGATAACAATACAAATAGATTCATTTAATATTAAAGAAATGGGGAGGTTTATTAAAGATTTAAATAATATAGTTAATCGCATTGCCTGTCTGTCTGTTCATAGACATAAGAGACATTGCGTTTTGTATGCAACGTGACGTTATAAGTTTCATTTGTTTAAACTTCCATTATGGTTAAATAAGATAAGCAGACGATCAAAAGAATGATCCAATAGTGCAGACCTGGTAAATAGTTTGCAAGTCTAGAATTTTATACGGATCTTATTTTAATTATTAAATGTACACCTGGATGAGCCGATGGGTATAAGGTCCAGGTCTTTCACACAGCGATATTCAAGACCAAACGGCAATAAGAATGAGTTTGACATACTTCAGGATCTCACCGTAAGTCAGGTGCAAGACCCATATTCGTAGGCTAGCTCGGCCAGGATTGCAAAGAGATTCAAAACCAAAAATGTATTATTTTTTATATGCTTAAGGTCGATTATTTTTAATATTACTTTGAAATTACATAGCGCAAATGTTCACCATTTTGTAATCCGAACTAGATGCTATTTTCAACACTAATCTTCGTTAACTCTCTGGGATGAAACAGAACATACATTCCTTTAATATTTTGGGCCATGGGCCTTTTTTACCTTGAATTCATATGCAATTGTACGAAAGGAATTTTATATGATTAAAGTAGGATTTGCATAAGTCATTTTAAAAGTTCAAACTGAAATCTTTAACACTCTAAAAGAGGCTAAATAATTCGAAAACAATCTGAAAATGAACTTGATGTAAACCTTGTTAAATAATATTAAGGATTTCAAACCTAGCACCGACTTGAGCGATACAATTTGCAACATCAACGACCCCGAATAACCAGAAAAATATAAAACGGCTGCACCTAGTTTGAAAACCTCCGAATCGCCGCCCAGGGAAACGTGTATTAAATCTTCATGTTCTTCTTTAGTTTTTTAAAATTGTTCTTTTTGAAAATTGGAAAAAATGGTAATATTTTGAAAGTTAAAAATATTTTTTATTTGAAATTAATATTAACTTTTGGAGAATTGTAAGTCAATAGAGGAATATGTTCTTAACATTTAAAGAATATATTCTGTATTTATTTTGTATCTTTTTAAACTACTTTTCAAACGAATGCCTATAATGACTAAGAGTGATGATTTTTGCGCTTTAAAACTTCCCAGCAGTATTATAACTACTGACAGTTCCTAGGCGGTACCCTCTGTGTATCTTTTCTTGTTTCACGTGTATGTCTTGTTTATTGTTACCTGTTTTGTATGTATGTCAAAACGTTTTATAATGTCACATCTTGTCAAATTACCGTTAGCAGTAAGTATTTCCCTTTTAGTTCCCCTTATGTCCAATTTTGTGCCCCGTCTTTTCCTTACACCAAAACCTTGTCCATTTAATTCCTTTTAGTTTTTATCATTGTCCTTATTTCAGGTCCATTTCCTCTCTTCACCGCGCTTTGTGTCCGTTTTTGGTTTGGTGCCTTAAGCAAAATCGTAAAGTTTAGAACCATAATTTAATTTTGTTCAGAAAAGACTTCTATATAATTTTGATAAAATGGAGGAATTTGATTTCCGATCAAACAAAGACAATAAAAAACATGTATAAACCTATAGTACTAAAATATTTAATGTTTGTCTTTATTTTTGTAAGATAATGTATATTTCTCTGAGGCACACTTTGTGTTTGATGTTGGCTCTCGAAGAAGGGTTGTTACAAATCTTCAAATTCGGCACAAATACAAAAAGTAAAAAGTAAAGAGAGGAAGTTTACCATTTACGCTTTAAATATTTAAGATGCTGTATCATAAACTTTTCAAGATCAAATGTTTATGTACAATTCAAGGTTGGAGGCGAACTAGATGACCGTTTGTACTATACAGAACTTTGATTGAACATAAAATTTCAATTTCAAATGTATTCTAATAAATTTAAAAAATACTACAATAAACAGTGTGATGATATACGATTCTTTCAAGTGTTTTGCATACGTTAAATAAAACCGAGAGCAGAAGTCTATAAGCTAACATTAATTTCATGTGACGTTGTAGTCCATACTTTATTCCTAAATGGCATACCTATGTACCTCATGAAAAATGGTTTCTTCAAAGATTATCATTGAAAAGATACGAATGATATGTAATAGTTGTAGTATATGAAACGAGTTAGTTACGAGGATATAACACTGGCTGGGGCGACATCAAGGGGTGTTTTTGCTAAAAATTGTCGAGACCGTTCGGCCGAGACAATTTCTTTTTTCAGAAACATCCCGAGATGTCGCCCCAGCCAGTGTTATACCCCTGTAACTTACGAGTTTCATTTACTGTACTGTAACTGTTTTTTTTGCATTTTCATTTTTTTATAAAAGAAATCAGAAAAAAAAACAAAAAAAAAACAAACAAACAAACAAAAACGTGCATTTATCTATCTCTTGTGCTCTTTCACTTTTTTACCTTCTCACTCCAAGATACCAGCTAATGTCGTAAGCTACCTTTACAACTATAAATAATATTGCAATCTTAAAACAACGTCCAATGATAGAGACTGATAGTTAACTGATAGTTATTCGGATTCAAGATTTAAGGGTTTCTTCAGTGGAAAAAAATCATGTCGCGGATGTACCTTTTGATTTCAGCAGTTGCATAATTATATAAGAATAATTCATTTCATTAATTTTCTTTTTTACTTATGCTTCTTTTTTGTTTAGTTTGCTACTGAATGTTCGTAACCGCTGCTACAATTGGAACCTCAGTGAAAAAACTATACTGATAAAAAACGAGAAAAAAAAAACGAAAAAAAAAAAAAAAAAAAAAAAAAAAAAAAAAAGGAAAAGAACTCAACTGCTATATAGCAGTTGAGATTTTGGCCTATATGAATCAATGAAAAACTGTACTGCTATATATCAATACAGTTTAAAAGTGTACCAATACAGTTTAAAAGTGTACTGAGTATAATGAGATAGTAAGAACAATTAAAGAAAAAGTTCCAAACCATGCGATAATGCATTATTGTATAATAATGATGGGTGATACTAAATGTACGGGAACTACTTCTTTTCATAAAAAATGGGTAGTTCCGATACCCTTCTATAATTAGAATATATTGGGATTTCCACAATTGGTGTGACGAGCCGAATTTTTTGTTACGTAATATAAATTTTTCAATATAGCTACGATTTTGTACGGGAACTATTCGCATGCCAGTACGGATAAATATTATTTCGATATTAATATGAAAGTTATTAGATAAAATGAAGTTCACTGTATTGGTTCATACAACAATTGTGATTTCAATTACATTAGGACATGCGAATACAATATCAGGTATATATTTATTCAACTAGTCGATTTAAAAGATAAATAATACATGGAGGATATTCAAGTTTAATCTATAATAACAGGATTTAATTTCATTGAGTTGTATGATAAATGAAAAAAAATCAAGTGAAATATGACAATTTTATTACACAAAATGAAGATAAATCATGTATTTATAGAAAAATAACTTGAATTATCTGTTTATAATATACATTTTTCTCTTTTTATACTTTACAATTTGAAAGACCCCATCCCTCCCTAAATTTTGTGCATTGACTGAATTAGAAAAAAGTTGTTCTGCAAGACACCAGTGAAAAGACGGAAAATATGTTTCAGTGAACAAAATCTCGTGAAAATGTTGAAAATGAACTACGCATTTAATTTCATCTGTATTTCTCAATATTTCATTTATACGTATAAAATGAAATAAAACACGCCTTGACAACAGTTAAATACGATAGTCGAATGGCTCGGCGCTATTTAAAGCATACACGAATGCGCTATTAAACTGGAATTCCGATATCTATATATAGCACACTGGGTTTTTCATTTATCTAACAATAGATTTCAGAAATTGAAATGATTAAATAAGGATGTTCTTTAGTCAATATATAAGTTCAAACTGAAAACTTTAAAGCTCGTTAATCTCTCTAAAATAGACAGAATGATTAGAAAAAAGTCTGAAATGAACTCTGTAAACCTTGGTTAAGATATCAAAGATTTCACGTCCTACATTTTTTTAAAAGACTGAGAGAGTTATTGCTAATGATACATCTTTTAACACAAATTTCATACAACTCATTATCGAATTATCTAAATTATATATGAAATTTATTTTAAACAATAACCAATAACCGTTTTTGGCTTTCAGGTACTGAGGTAGACGACGAGGAATCAACATGTAACCCTTATAGCGCTCTTTTCATGTGGTACATGGGTAGTGGAGAAGATAATTCATTTTTTCAACAGATGAGGTTGTTGGTAATGTTAATAAGTGAATTCCCTGAAAACACAAGTGTATCTATGATAACAATCGGCGCTAAAGATGATATAACACTGTCTTTTAGGAAACAAGGCGGAAACACTAATTGGAGTGACAAAATTTTACAATTGTCAGGAAACACTTCGATTCATGCAACCTCGTATACAGAAAAAGTACGAATGACAATCTCAAACTTCCATAGAAGTAAATCAACTGACGCACAAATTGTGTATCTCCAAGTCGATAGCAAATCTGAAATACACGATGAAGAAAATGGTTTTGAAGAGCTCAGCAAAATGAAAACGTTTGTGATATTTGCAGAAGTAAATACAAGTATAGCAGAAACATGGGTAAAACTTGCAATCAATACACAGCATTTTGTCGTATGGGATAGTAGAAGCGAAGACGAAATAGAGAAAACAAAGAATATTATACTGGCCAGGTCCTGTCAAGGTGATTATTATATTGGATTCATAATGAAAGTAAAAATTATTAAGATTAAATGATTCTCTTTGTTGAACAAGAGCAGTCAATATAACCTATATCATTGATTTTCAAATAAAGCTCATGTAAATAATACAAAGGTTTAAGTTTTGATGACATTTTCTTAACATTTTTCGTTTTTTAAAATCTTTAATTCAATGTTATTCAAATAATGCTCCTGCATATTGTAAGGTTAAAGGTTTGGTGACATTTTTCACTTGTGTGGTTTTTGTTTTTTTATTTGCATTTTTAAAACTTTTCTGTCAAAGATAACAGATAAATATATTAGACACCTAATATCTAATACTTTACATGGTTTCATTATTAGATTCCCTGTTTGTCTGTGATACTGACAATTACTGGTCAAGTGATAGGAACAGATGTAATTCATGCACGTACATATGTACAAGTACGTACAAGAGACAAACAGAGTATTGCGTCAATGCATGCCCATGTGAGTTTATTTTACGTTTTTTTATTTACTTTTAGTATCTGCAATAAACCAATTTCACAGATTTATTGTAAATCTAACTGAGACAGTAAAGGTTGAATGACATGCATATAAAATACAGTTATCGTTAAATAAATTGATAAATAGAAAAAAAATATTCATTTAAAAGATAATCAAATATAAATTTCTGCTCATTTTCAATCAAAGCCGTAAATTCAAAACCGTAAAATAAAATCGCAAAATTGAAATTACTGAAAGGTCGGTTTGATTTAGCCTGTTCATGGATGGCAGTGTTAAATGCATTATACTTTCCACGTTCCAAGCACCGACTTAAGCAAGACAAAATATTTAAAAGATAAAAAAGGAATCTAATATAGTGTATTAAAAAAGCCATTGTCTTATTCATACGACGATGTTATTGTAACTTAAAAGTGTCACACCTACGTACATTACGCGGAAAGCGGCATGGCTACACATTAACAGGGTGTTAGGGCCACAGTCAATGCATCTCTTAGCTCCAGCAGGTGAGGTGGTTTGCTTTAAAATGACCCTGGTGTTGCTTTAAGTTGTTAACATTTGGTGTTAGCCATAATGATCTTTCCTGTTCCGGCGCAATATGACCTTAATTGTGTTGGTGCGCTGTAAAACCAAACAAAACATTCAAACATTTGCAGGAGATTAAAATGATATGTTCCTTGATAGCATTTTGACAATGTTTAGTTTTCTTTTTTCTTTCTTGCAGTTTTTCACCAATCTCTACTGGGCAATGATGTTACTACTGGTGACGGTCTGAATAATGAATCTGGTGACTTTCCCAATTATGAATCATCACAAAAACATTCTGGATATGTAGGCTTTATTTTCAAATGGCTATTTATTATTGCAATCATAGTATTTACTATTGCTGTATGCATGAAAAGAAAACAGATATCAAAGAAATTAAGTTCTGCAAAGAAATGGAAAGCTGATTCTCTGAAAAGCAGACTATATCATCCTCAAGCAGAGCAAAACAATGACATACATTATAACACACATTCATACGGTGTATCATCTGGACCTTTAGGCATATCTGGAAATCTAACTTCAAGAGATGATCTCAGTGGAAAATCTGATATTGAACTTAAAGTAATGTCATATTAAAATAAAATGGTTGTAACGTTACATCAGATGTTCCATCAAGAGAAAAGCTGGAATATCATAACAAAGTATTTACATAACCTGTGTAATATTTTGTCCTAAATTAAGCTTAGTAATTTTATTATTTTCTTCATTTTTGATGAAAAAGAATGATTTTATATGTAGATTTCATGCAAACCGTAGTAGTTTTCTTAAAGAATTTGTAAACTTATCCTTCTTTTCAGTTGCTCTCGAATAAATGCTTATTTCATGTACATTTTGAATTCTATTTGCAAGGTCAAACCATTAAATTTGTAGTTTGATAAACCTACTTGGTGATATTTATCTGCTTAAGTAGTAAAGAAAGCAATTAAAATCCTTATAATTGAATATAATTACAAAATACAGACACATAGAGTGGTCATATTAAGCCTGTACCAGTGTGTTATTTTTGTCACTTCTTGTATTTTGATCAAGTTTTTTTCTATAATTATTATTTTATTATTCATTATATTTATGTATATTTCTGTTTTTCTTTTAAAAAAGGGCTTAAAATAATTAAAAATTTCAGTCGGTCTATTTCTTCGCCTATTTAAAAAAAAAGTTTTTAATTACATGTATAAATGTTTGTAAAAAATAAAAAAATGATGTTTTTGGAAAAATTAAAAAATGACTAATTACCTTCCAAAAATGGGCTTTTAAAAGATTTTTTAATTTTTTTTAAATTCCCCCTAAAATTTTCCATTCAAAGTAAAAAACCATGAAAAACCTCCAAAAAAGCAAAGAAAAACGGAGGAAATCCCCCCCTATATTTCCTTGGTGAAAGAATTATTTTTCCAAAATAATCCTATGTTTAAATGTTTTATTAAGAAGTTTAACCCCCCGGTTTTCCAAAAATCAAAAAAAAACAGGCCGTAAAAATCGGATAAAGGTTTGTTTTTTAAAATTTTAATTTTTAAAGGGCCCCCCAAATCAAAAAAAAATTTTTTTTTTCCCAAGAATATTTTTAAAAAAAGCGTCACAAATCCAAAGTTTATTAATTTGCACAATACTCTCCTTTTTTTAGAACAAAATAATGATAATAAATACAAAAACATGTAGGGCTGAATTTAAAAAAAAAGCGTTTTCAAACACATAACTCAACCCTGATTGATATCACAGAACAATTTTTATCACATTTACTTACATAACACGATAAAGCATTTTAAAGTTTTTTTTATGGTATCAAGTCCTGAATAAACAGTAATTTATACGGCCTTGGAGTATGGGGGTGAGGGTGCACTTGGGTCAGGAAATGAAGCAGTTGGTGGGTATGCCGGATCCGTGTCGGAATAAGACGGCGGCGGGGGCGGATACATCCCCCTGTAAATTGTTGTTGCTGTTGCCTTTGTTGTGACATCAACATTGGAGAAAAATATTGTTATCTCAAAAATCTTTTGAAATCCATAAAATCCTTACTGAATGTTTTTAATTTACATGCACATCATTACAGTTTGGTATGTACATCGTTTGTGTTTAATAATGAATACACTTTTTTTCAAAAACTGCAAATATTATATGAAGACTTGATTTAGATAAATTATAATGGTGGAAGAAGACCTCAGGTCCCTTTGTGCATTGCTTCAGACAAGAGAGGGTACTAAAGTTGCAACACCTAGGGCCAAGGGCATCACCAAAGTAACTCTCATAAAATTAAGTTCTTTGCACCCTAGAGTTCTTTTCGCGTATAAAATATCTTTTTCTTGAATAGTCAAAAAGTAAACATCCGTTTTCAAGTTATTGTAATGTGAATAATTTTGTGTCAAACTGGAACATACAGACGATAAAAGCATACAACAAAGGATTTTTTAACATATTTAATCAGTGAAACGTTGCAGACAGAGTTTGCTAGACGCCCTTTTTGGGGAAAAAGTCTTTTAAATTTGAAAAAGAAGCTTTTGGGTCAAAAACCAATCGAAAAAATTTTTCTGGGATACAAAGGAAAGATTTAAAGAACCCAAAATTTTTAATGAATGGGTTTATTTGTTTTTTTTCCCTTAAAAAAAAACCCCAGTTTAATTTAGTTTAAATTACTGGAAGATATCAAAAACTTTTAAATAAAAAAAAAAAAGTTCTAAAAGTCCCATTTAGCCTACAGTTTGGAAAGGTACGACAGTTTTTTAATTGGTTTCCCTCTTTTTATTTTTATACAGTTAAAATTTATTTTCCCAAATTAGATTTTCCCCCAAATTTTTTCGGGGTAATAAAGCACCCCCTGGGGAAAAACAAATTTTTCCTCGGGATGATTTTTTAAAACTGAAACCCCACAAACCCATTTTTTAATTTATAAACAAATTTGGGAACACCTCATTAAAGATATGACAATTCTTAAATTAGACTGATATATTAAGGTATATTACATAGACATGTGTATACATTTAAAGGATTAAAAATGCATTTTTTTATCAAATCAAGTCTAAAAGACATCACATAACATACTTTCTTTCTATTTAAGGCGATTTAAATTGTTTGTACACAATACGAGTAGTCTAGAAATATGAATTCATCTTAGATAGATAGATAGATTTATTTCAGTATTCAGTAAATAACATGGTAAAAACATATCCAATACATGATAAAACAATAAAAAACAAATATCAATGTAAAGAAATGCACCATATCAAAAACATCATACCAAGGATAACACAAAAAAGAGAACTAAATCTCTTATTTCCATTGTGGTCCTTAGATACTGATGGTTTTGACAAAGAGAGGCATGAAAATGACTTATCAAAGTTTTAAATTAAAGAAAGACAAAAGTATACATAAAATTTTCAAATTAAAATAAATTAATAAAAATAATAAATATTAAGACTAGAGGATAGACACCCTTAAAAGAGATAATTACCCATTAAGTAAATGTTTTTTAACAGATAATTTAAAATTGTATAATTTTGATTCCATCCTAATAGAAGAGGGTAGTTTATTCCACAATACACATCCATTATAAGCAAAAGACTTTGATCCGAAACCTTTGACCTTAGGTAGCATATAACAACCGCTTTCACTTGACCTGGTCCTGTATGTATGAACAGAATCTAATGGAATAAAGTTTTCTCCCATATATTCAGGGGCAAGTCCATGTTTTATTTTAAAAACATTACATAGAATGATTTGATCAACTCTTTTCTGGACAGGTAGCCAATTTAAAATTTTAAAGTGTTCATTATCAATATGTGACATATAACCAAGATTTAGAACAAATCTTATCAATTTATTTTTTGTGACTTGGAGTTTATCTTTCCAGTATTTAGTAACCCCAGGAAACCAGAAACAACATGCATAATCAAAATGACATTGGATGAGGGCCATAACCAGAAGTTTTTTAGTGTGAAAAGTGAGATAATCACGTTTTCTATACAGAAACTTTAACCTTGCATTGGCCTTTTTAATAATAGAACTTGCCATTGCTTCACCGGAGAGAGACTGATCAAGTGTTGCACCTAGATATTTGACATTAGAAGTTGACTGTATATCAGTCCCTTTACAACTGACATGAAGAGATGAACCTGTTTTTAACCTATGTTTAGAGCCAAATAAGATTGTCTCTGTTTTGCCTAAGTGAAGGGAAAGTTTATTGTCAATTAACCATTGACTGACAGAATTTAGTTCATCTGTCAGTTCTTTTTCAATAGATGACCTATTTTTACCTGTAACAAGAATAGCAGAATCATCAGCATAAAGAAGAAGTTTATTTTTAACAACAGCCTGCATATCATTTACATAAATTAAAAACAATAATGGTCCCAAGATAGACCCTTGGGGAACACCACAGGTAACCCTTTCATGTGAGGAAAAAGTACCAGATACATCAACAAGTTGCCTATCAGACCGAAATGACCTAAACCATTGTAAAACATCAGTACTAAGACAAATGACTTCTAATTTCATTAAAAGGATTGAGTGGTCCACTGTGTCAAATGCTTTTTGAATATCCATACAAGATTACCTTTATCCATATGCAACTTAATGTAATCAGATAGATGTGTAAGACAAGTGTCTGTGGAAAAACACCTCTAAATCATGATTGAAATTTATATAATATGTCCATTTCTTTAAGATAGGAAGAAATCTGATCATAAGCAACCCTTTTAAAAAAATTGAAACAATGCTTAATATGGATACAGCCTGTAGTTGCCAACTTCAGTTTTGTCATTCTTTTTGAAGAGGAACAACTATTGCTGCCTTCAAATTATCAGGTACTGTGCCTTGTATCAATGACAAATTTATAATACGGTTTAAGGAAAGGCTATAATAGATGCGCTAACTCTAACAAAACAAGAAGGAATACCACCAGACCAGTGGATTTGTTTGAACCTAGTTTATTCAAATACTTAATTACACTTTTTTCAGACATCAATGAAAAAGAAAAAATTATTAAATATAATTCTTTTTGATAAATAAAAAGAAGATGCAACATTACAGTAGAAATTGTTAAATTCTTTAGCAACCTTTTGTTTATCAAAACAAATTTCATCACCTATTTTTAATCCAATATTAATCTTACAAGATGTATTGTCCTTTTTAGAAGGTAGACCAAGCTCCTTCAGGGATTTCCATAAGGTATTTGAATCATTTTTATGATTGTCACATGAATTATTAAAATGGTTCTTTTTCGCCATAAAAATAAGTTCATTAGCTCTATTTCTATATGTTTTGAAATTCTCAAAATTTTCATCAGTTTTATTCTTTCTATACAAATGAAAAGCTTTATCTCTATCATTTAAACATTGTAAAATTTCTGGACTAATCCATGTTTCAATACGTTGTTTAATACGCATTTCCCTAACAGGAGCAATGTTATCAACAACATTTAGAAAAATAGATTTATTTAATAAAAAGATTCCAAGCTTCAGATACACAGTCACATAATAATACAGGAGACCAGTCAACTGCAAGTAAAGATTGCTGGAAATCATCCTTATTATAATTTTTCATTGAACGTGCTTTGATAGTGTTATGCTTGCCAACATAATTCCTCAAATTTGATTCTTCCTAGGTTTTACTAATAAGACAATTGGGAAAAATAAACCTTTTTGGGTTCAGAAATTTACTAAAAAGTGTTAGAAAAATCACCACAACTATATTGAATTATCCTGTAAGGAACACTTTAAACGTTTTATAATAAACTTACTGTAAATTCTTACTTTAAGAAACAATCTATTATTGTCAATAATTTTCGTTATCAGCTTCTTCATATGTTCTGCCAAAGTCAGTGTCATTTATCAACAATATGTAATGCCACTCTTCTGTGTACAAATACACAGTTATAAAAACCTTTACATACTAATTAATTATAGATACTTTAACAAGCGGGTATATAAAACAGAAAATAAGAATTTCCTATATTTACCTAGGTTATTCCTTGCGACGGGCATATATATTTTCTAATTTTCTATATAAGTTATAAAATAACATATATATAAATATATATATCAATCAGCTGTTTGATTAATACAACAGTTGTGATCTTAATTACATTTGGACATGTGAATACAAGTTCAGGTATTTTATTGAAAAATGAAGCAAGAAAACACAGAGTATAAATACAAAAATTCGAATATCTTGGCGCCCTTTAAAGCATTGATTGCAACTATAAGCTTGATGCTCGTTTTATCAAACCTCTTTAGAAACCAAGTCAGGTAACTAATAATTTCAGCTTTTTTATAAGAGATAGTATATGTATAAATGCACCCTAGACTGGAATCCCAAAATCTCTATATATAGCACACTTTGGTTTTCCATTCACACACAAAGATGACAGTACACATAGTTTTATTATATTAAAGAAATCGGGAAGTTTATTACAGATTTAAGAAATATTGTAAATCGCATTGTATATCTGTCTGTTCAGTAGACATCAGAGACGTAATGTTTTGTATGCAACTTGATGTTATAAGTTTTATTTCTTTAAACTTCTATTATGTGGTTAATTTTGCATAAAATAAGATAAGCGGACGAGGAAAAGAATTATCAAATAGTGCAGGTCTTGTAAATAGTTTGCAAGTGAAAAAATTTAACGTTCTTAAATGTTCATCCGCATAAGCCGATAAGTATAAGGTCCAGGTCTTTCACACAGCGATTTTCAAGATCAAATGCCGGTAAAAAAATCGAAATTACTACAGGATCTCATCATATGTCAGGTGCAAGACCCATATTCGTAGGCTAGCCAGGTAAGGATTGCAAAGAGATAAATAGCCAAAACTGTAATAGTTTTTTAACTTTTTATATGCCTAAAGGCCGATATTTGTTACTTGAAATTACATAGCGCAACTGTTCACCATTTGTAATCTAAATTTGATAATTTGATGTTTTGGCTCAATCAAACCGAGCCTGCAACATTTTCAATTTTGCCGTGTTGGGCTTTCTTTAGGGATTCTGTATTTATCTATTGTTTAACACTGATCTTTGTTTACTCTCTCGACATACGTTATATGACTAAAGTAGGATTTGCATAAGTCATTTTATTTGTTTAGATTGAAATCTTTAGGTCTCGTTATACGCTCTAAAAGAGGCAAAATAATCTGAAACGAACTTGTTGTAGACCTAGTTAAATGATAGCACCGACTTGAGCAATACTTAAAACTTCAACACTTAAGTGCTGAAATCAACGACCCCGAAGAGACAGAAAGATATAAGACAGCTGAACCCAACCTTTGAATTGCCGTCAAGGGAAATGTGTATTAAATCTCTATGTTCTTTTTTAGTTTTTAGAATAATTTTCTTTAAAACAATTTGGAAAAAATGGTAATCTTTTCAAAGTTCAAACTTTAAAATTAGTATTAACTTTTGGATAATTGTAAGTCCGTGGAGGAATATGTTCTTCACCATTTAAAGAATATATTCTGTGTTTATTTTGTATCTGTTTTAGCTACTTTTCAAACAAAGGCCTATAATGACAAAGAGTGATGTTTGGTGCGCATTAAACCGGTTAAATCTTCCAACTAGTGTTATTATCACTGACAGTTCCTGTTACCCCTGTGTTCCTCCTCTTGTTTCACATGCATGTCTTGTTTATTGTTACATGTTTTGTATGTCTTAACGTTTATTTTATGTCATCTTGTTAAATTGCCGTTAGCAGATAGTATTTTCTTTTTATTTCCCCTTATGTCCTATTGCGCGTCCCCGTCTTTTCCTTATACCAAAACCTTGTCCATTTAATTCCTTTTAGCTCTTATCATTTTCCTTATTTCATGTCTCTTTCCTCTTTTCACCACCCTTTGTATCAGCTCCCGTTTTTGGATTGGTGCCTTCTACAAAACCGTAAACTATAGAACCATAATCTAATTTTGTTCAGAAAAGACTTCTGTATAATTTTGATCAAATGGAGGAAATTGATTTCCGATCCGACCAAGACACTAGCAATTTTTTTTATAAACCTTTAGCTCTAAAATAGTCAATGATTATTTTTTTTTGTAACAGAAAGTAAATTTCACTTAGGCACAATTTCTTGAAAAGGTTGAAACAAATCTTCAAAGTCGGCAAAAATGCCTGAAATAAGGGAGGAAGTTTACCATTTAATCATTGTCCCTTATGATCTTTAAGATAAACATGTTTCAATGTTGTATCATACCCTTTTCAAGGTCAAATAAAAAAAATGAAGGCACGCCATTATATACCATTCTTTCATTCAGGTGTTTTGCATACACGTTAAATGAAATCAATATTGTTACGTAATAAATAATTTTCAATATCGATTTTGTATGGGAACTACTCGTATGCCAGTACGGATAAATATTATTTCGATATAGATATATAAGTTATTAGATAAAATGAAATTCACTGTGTTTGTTCATACAGCAGTTGTGACTTTAATTACATTAGGACATGTGAATACAAGTTCAGGTATATTTATTCCACTTGTCGATTTAAAAGACAAATAATACAAAGAGGATATTCAAGTTTGATCTATAAAAAACAGGATTTAGTTTCATTGAGTTGTATGAAAAATGAAAAAAAATCATGAGTGGTGGTAGCCACGAGTGAAATATTCTAATTTTCGTACCACAAAATGAAGATAAATCCTGTATTTTTAGAAAAAAAACTTGAATTTTCTGTTTATAATATACATTATTCTCTTTTTTTACTTTACAATTCGAAAGAACCCCCCCCCCCCTCTCTAAATTTTGTGCATTGACTGAATTTAGAAGAAAGTTGTTCGGCAAGACACGAGTGAAAAGACGGAAAATATGTTTCACTGCAGTGAAAAATAAATCTCGAGAAAATGTTGAAAATAAAAAACGCATTTAGTTTCATCTGTATTTCTCAATATTTCATTTACACGTATAAAATGAAATAAAACACGCCTTGACAATAGTTAAATACGATAGCCGAATTCCTCGGCGCTATGTCAAACATACAAAAAGAATCAATACCCACTGTTTTTATATTAAAGAATGCGCTATTAAACCTATATATAGCACACTTGGTTTTTCATTTATCTAAAAACAGATCTCAGAAATTGAAAGGGAAGAATTCAATATGAAAACTAACAGAAATGAACTATGTGAACCTTGGTTAAGATATCAAAGATTTTCGAAAGTCACGTCCTACATATTTTTAAAAGCATGGAAGAGTTATTGCTCATGACACATCTTTTAACACAAATTTCGTACAACTCATTATCGAATTGGATTCCAAAAGCTAAATTATATATAAAATTTATTCTAAACAATAAACATTAACGTTTTTGTCTGTCAGGTACTGAGGAGGACGATGAGGAGTTAATATGTAACCCGTATAGCGCTCATATCATGTGGTTCATGGGTAGTGGAGAAGATACTTCATTTTTTCAACAGATGAGATTGTTGATAATGTTAATAAGTGAATTCCCTGAAAACACATGTGTATCTATTGTAACAATTGGCGCTAAAGATGATATAACACTGCCTTTTAGGAAACGAAACGGCAATACTAATTGGAGAGACAAAATTGTACATGTGTCTGGAAACACTTCAAATCATGCATCCTCTTATACAGACAAAATACGAATGACAATCTCAAACTACCATAGAAGTAATTCAATTGACGCACAAATTGTGTATCTGCTAGTCGATAGCAAAACTGCAATACACGATAAAGAAAATGGTTTTGAAGAGCTCAGGAAAATGAAAACGTTTGTGATCTTTGCAGAAGTAAATACAAGTATAGCAGAATCATGGGTAAAACTTGCAAGCAATGCACAACATTTTGTTGTATGGGATAGTAGAAGCGAAGACGAAATAGAGAAAACAAAGAATGTTATACTGGCCAGGTCTTGTCAAGGTGACTATTATATTGGATTCATAATGAAAGTAAAAATTATTAAGATTAAATGATTCTCTTTGTTGAACAAGAGCAGTCAATATAACCTATATCATTGATTTTCAAATAAAGCTCATGTAAATAATACAAAGGTTTAAGTTTTGATGACATTTTCTTAACATTTTTTCGTTTTTTAAAATCTTTAATTCAATGTTATTCAAATAATGCTCCTGCATATTGTAAGGTTAAAGGTTTTGGTGACATTTTTCACTTGTGTGGTTTTTTTGTTTTTTTATTTGCATTTTTAAAAACTTTTCTGTCAAAGATAACAGATAAATATATTGGAAACCTAATATCTAATACTTTACATGGTTTCATAATTAGATTCCCTATTTGTCTGTGATACTGACATGTACTGGTCAAGTGATAGGAACAGATGTAATGCATGCACGTACATATGTACAAGTACCTACAAGAGACAAACAGAGTATTGCGTCAATGCATGCCCATGTGAGTTTATTTTACTTATCTTTTCTTATTTACTTTAAGTATCCGCACCAACCAATTTCACAGATTTATTGTAAATCTAACTGAAACAGTAAAGGTTGAATGTCGTGCATATAAAATACAGTTATCGTTAAATGAATTGATAAATAGAAAAAAACACACTCATTTATTCATTTAAAAGATAATCAAATATAAATTTCAGCTCATTTTCAATCAAGTAGTTATATTGGAAGCCGTAAAATCAAAACCGTAAAATCAAAACCGCAAAAATGAAATTATTGTAAGATCGGTTTGATTTAGCTTGTTCATGGATGGCAGTGTTAAATGCAATCTACTTTCCTCGTTCCTAGCACCGACTTAAGCAAGACTTCTCATTTAAAAGATAAAAAAGGAATGTAATATAGAGTTTTGAAAAATGAAGCCATTGTCAAATTCATACGACGATGTTATTGTAACTTAAAATGTCACACCTATGTACCATTACGTTAAAAGCGGCATGTGACACCCAAATAGCTACAATAATGTTTGAACACATTAACAAGGTGTTATGGCCAGAGTCAATGCATCACTTAGATCCAGCAGGGGAGGTGGTTTGCTTTAAGATTACCCTGGTGTTGCTTTAAGTTTTTAACATTAGGTGTTCGCCATTATGATTTTTCCTGTTCCGACGCAATATGACCTTAATATTGTGTTGGTGCGTTGAAAAACCAAATAAAACATTCAAACGTTTGCAGGAGATTAAAAAGATATCTTCCTTGAAAGAATTTTGACAATTTTTGTTTTCTTTTTTCTTTCTTGCAGTTTTTCACCAATCTCTGCTGGGCAATGATGTTACTACTGGTGACGTTCCCAATAATGAATCATCACAAAAACATTCTGGATCTGCAGGCTTTATTGTCAAATGGCTATTTATTATTGCAATCATATTATTTACTATTGCTGTATGCATGAAGAGAAAACAGCTATCAAAGAAATTAAGTTTTGCAAAGAAATGGATAGCTGATGCTCTGAAAAGCAGACTATATCATCCCCAAGCAGAGCAAAACAATGACATACATTATTTCACACATTCAAACCGTGTATCATCTGGACTTTTAGGCATATCTGGAAATCTTACTTTAAGAGATGATCTCATTGGAAAATCTGATATTGAACTTAAAGTAATGTCATATTAAAATAAAATGGTTGTAAAGTTACTTCAGATGTTCCATCAGGAGAAAAGCAGTAATATTATAACAAAGTATTTACATAACCTGTGTAATAATTTCTTCTAAACTTAGCCTTGTCATTTTATTATTTTCTTCATTTTTGATGAAAAAAAAAGATATGTAAGCTTTCACATACTGTAGTAGTTTTCTTAAATAAATTGTTAACTCATCCTTAATTAATTTGCTTTTCAGTTGCTCTCGAATAAATGCTCATGTACGTTTTGAAATCTATTTGCAAGGTCAAACCATTATATTTGTAGTTTGATAAACCTAATAGGTGATATTTATCTGCTTAAGTAGGAAAGAAAACAATTAAAATCCTAATAATTAAGTATAATTACAAAATACACATATAGTCGTAACATTGAACCTGTACTAGTTTGTTTGTTTTGTTACTTGTAGTATTTTTATCAAACCTTGTTTTTTATTATTTTCTTGTTCATTATGTTTATGTATATTTGTAGTTTGTTTTTTGTTACAAATGGCTTAACTAATATATTGAAATTTCAGCGGTCTATTTCTTCTGCCTATTTAAAAGAAGTCTGTGTGTATATGTATATTATGATAGAATGAAAATGATGATGTATGACGAATGTAATATGACTTATGTACTGCAATAAATGTGCTTTAAAGATACTAGATTTTGTTTTATTGCCTTAAACTTCTCCATTCAAAGGTAGAAACCATGAGAAATCGCCCATTACAGCGAAATGAAACAGGATGCAAATACCCTCCCTTTAGTCGGCTGTAAACGAATTTATTTTTACAGAAATCATCCTATGATTATGTTTTATGTAAGAAGATAACGGTATCAAAATATCAAAACAAAAGGCAGTAATGTCTGTCAAGGTGTATCAATAGTTAAATTTAAGACGCCCGGTCAAAAGATCTGTTTGTTTAATGAATATTCTCATTAACATAAAGCGTCATAGATCCAAAGTTTATTTTTCGCTGAGGCAATATTGTATACTCTCTAATTTTCTGACCAGGAACCGTACTTCTTACGGTTGTTATTAATTAACTTTACCAATTTATATCCTTCTTTTTATTAGAACAAAATAATGATAATAAATACAAAAAGCATGTAGGGCTGAATTAAAAAAGCGTTTTCAAACATATAACTCAACCCTGATTGATATCACAGAACAATTTTTATCACATTTACTTACATAAAACATTTTAAAGTTTTTTCATGGAATCTTAAGTCTTAAATAAACTGTTATTTATACGCCCTTAGAGTATGGGGGTGGGGGTGCACTTGGGCCAGGAAATGACGCAGTTGGTGGGTATGCCGGATCCGTGTCGGAATAAGACGGCGGCGGGGGTGGATACATGCCCCCTGTAAACTGTTGTTGCTGTTGCCTTTGTTGTGACATCATTTGTTGCTGTAAAGCAAGTTGTTGTTGCAAAAGTCTGTTCTCCCTTTCAAGTTGACTGACATGTTGCTGGTTTGTATCGGTCGAGAAGATGTTCATATTGTTATGAACTACCACACCACTAGAACTTTGATTGGCTCTACCAACGCCAGCTCCATTATCAGATGTATTGTTTGACACAAAAACTGTCTGTCTGCCTCTTTTGTCTATGATTACACCGAAGTATTTACCATACGATCGAATCGTGCCCATCGAAATGATGGTTACCACAAAAACACAAATAATTGCTGTCAGTATGATAATAGCAATATTTTTGTTCGTTTGGCTATTTTCCTCATCCTCATCGGAATTTAAACCCCAGATACCAGTAAAAATACACCCAATGAAACACCCAGGAATAAGGAGCGTCGATAGTGCATATTGACAAGATAGCTAAAAATAGAAACAATAAAATAATATAGATGTATTCAAATCGTTTACGTTATCCGAATGATAGGTTAATCAAATATGAGTGATTCTTTTGTATATCTAAGAAGATAATACCAACATACCTAAATTGATAGACCAATGTTTGTGAAAGTAAGGTTAAGTGTGTGTTACATGTACAGCATAACATTTTGGTATACATCATTTGTGTTAAATTTTATACTTTTATTTGCGATATATGGCCACCAGCCAATACACATATACATGATATACATTCAAATTATACAAATTGTGATTGTAAATAATAAATGTACTTTTTGCAAAAACTGTAAATGCCATATGCCGACTTTAAAGATACCCAGTATATTGGTGGAAGAAGACCTCAGTTAACTTTGTCCATTAAATCACACAAGGAAAGGTTACCAGAGTAGAAACACTGTCCTTCTGTAAGCTAGCTTTTGAAATTGATAAGCAAAAGTCATTTAAATTACGATTAATATGATCTTTTAGTGCCTTTGAACTTGTATATATCAATAATTATTACTATCATAATTTAAATTAACAATATTCACTTTGTCACGGTACTAAAACGCCCTAGTTGAATGATTTTGCAAACTAGCAGAAAAACAAGCCCGAATCAACAAACAAAATGCTAATTTAGATTCAAAGATCACACATTAACATAGTTTCTTTCTTTTAAGAAGGTAATTTAAATGCCTTGTTTGTACATAATACGAACAGTGTTAAAATATAAATTCATCTAAGCACGTAAAATTGGATCTTCGTAGGTTTCATTATTTATTGTTGATAATTTATTTATTTTGTTCGCTCAAATTACCTGTGTACACTCTCAACAGATATTCAATGTTTCAAGCTTTGAATGACATAGTCTTTTTTATGTATACTTTATTCACATACTGCAGACTTACATGCCAAAGCTTACAAAATTAAGTCATGCCAAATTACTGTTATACATGCATAAATGCAGTAAAAATTAGATTAATTACATATATTCACTTTATCATCGGATATTAGCTTCTATTCTTTGTTCATATTGGTCTTTTAATTTGGATGAGATCAAATTGTTTATGGAATTGTTGAATACCAATAAAAAATTTCCTTCGTTCTTGCTTTACTGCCCTACGAAGGATGCGCGAAATAATACTTCCGTTTCTAAGGAGATATCGTAATGTGAAAAGCTCTATATTCCGTTAGTCTCAACTCGACATACATTAATAATAATTAATAACATTAGTAATAACACTGATAAATGATATAGCGACAAATGCATGTTAATATACTTTATTTTCAATTTTTCAAAAAATATGTACTTAACGATTGAAAGAAGTCTTATTCAATTTGAAATCACCCATATCCCCCAAAAATAAGGACAGGATAAAAAAGAAAAACAATAAAACTGGCGTGATCATCCAGGCACATACTTACCCTGGGAGCTAATTCTGTCCATTGGTCATCCTCAACAGATTTACCCATTGATCCCATTAAGGAAATCACCAACAACAATGCTGCAAGAAAGGCCTGTTGGAGAAAATCAAGAAACTGAATCAGTCAAAACACATACACTTTCAAAGAGATGTGAGTTAGAAATACCTAGAAATCTGACTAAAATGTAGCTTTGATCAAAAGCTGATTTAAACTTAAAACTTAATCTGAGCATCATATTTATGATATAAAACCATAAACAATGTGTCTTACAGGATCTTTAAAGATAGACAGACGGACAAACGGACATGCCAACATTTGGGATTAATGAACTATTTTTTTTATATATCTATGTGACACTTTTTCACATAAACTAGTAAGATAACCACATTAACCAGTAAGTTTATGTGATTTCTTTCTTTTTATACTAGGATCATGGACAGAATGAAGCTCACATAGATAGACAGGCAGACGGACGGACGGACGGACAGACAGATAAATAAATAGCGAGACTAACCAATGGTCCGACAATAAATCCACCAATATAATACGGCGGTCCAAAAGCATCCTTGTCACGGTAAGTGGTGCCTAATCCCGCACAAATCATTATAATAATGCTGAGTACCACAAACAACCCTGCTAACACTTTCAGTCGTTCAAGTGCAGACTTCCTTTTGTCACCTTGAATTGCAAAGAATACAATGATTAAATCAAAGATATACAATTTTGTTTGGGGAAAAAAAACAAAAAAAAATAAAGCGTTTAAACGCAACATTGTAATAACAGAACGTTGACAGATAGTTCAATGACAAATGTATGTTAACAATTCAATTTTTAAAAAACTTTTAATATACGGTTGGAAGAAAAAACAAACAAACAAACAAACAAACAAACAAACAAACAAACAAACAAACAAACAAACAAAAACATCAACAAAAACAACAAATAAAAAAGACAAAACCACCACCAACAACAACAACAACAAAAACAACAAAACAACCACCCCCTCAAACAATTCGTGCGAGTCCTGGTTCAGGATACCTACTACAATCGTTCTTAATAGCACGAAAAGTTCAATGCCTTCCTATTTTATTTACGACCAATTGAATCAAATGAAATTTAATACGACAAAACTATTTTCTTATGTTAAAATGAAGGTTTACTGTATTAGGATATCAAAAATTATAAAAAATCTATACACTCTCACCTTCTTTACTCATATCCGAAAATCCAATATATTTGGCTATATCTTAGAAGTATTCAACATTTCCCCACAGTTTTTATGAAATTTAAATTTGCCTTTAATGTCCTTCTAAAGTATTATTCTTTTTAGGATAAGTAATTAAAAATGGCCCCGTCCTTACCAGCAGTACACACTTAAACTTTAAATTTTGAAACTTGATAGTCACTCCTTTATATTTTTCCAATATTATATGACATGCTCTAAATGGTGATTTAATCTTGACATTGTTCAACTTTATGAATAATTATACGTTGCCAATTTGCTTTACAATATAAAAGAACAATTAAAATACAAAAAAGTTTAAAAAATAGCGTAAAATAGATTAAAGATTAGTGAATAAAATAAACAAGAGAAAAACCTATCACGTGTGGGTTATTTTTGGAAATATTTCAATAGCGGTAAAGTTCGTTGATTTCAAACCACTTTCCCATCACCGATGTCGGTTCGAATCCCGCCAGAGACTTTAGATTCTTTCATGTGAGGATGTTATCCAGCTAGCCTACGGAAAATTGATGGTTCTACTCAGTTACCGGTTCGTGCATGAAAAACGCACTGAGAACTTTCATTACCATAAAATGTAATGTGCTAACTGTAAAATGTTCACCGATGTCTTTTCTGAATCACTGAATAAGTATGGATCATATGAGCCGTGTCATGACAAAGCCAACATAAGGGTTTGCGACAAGCATGGATCCAGACCAGCCTGCGCATCCGCACAGTCTGATCAGAATCCATGCTGTTCGTTTACCAACTCTATTTCAAGTAGAGAAACTGATTAAGAAAATTAAGAAACTTTGATTGGTCACTGAAATGGAAATGAGACCTTTTTAGCTATTGCAAAATCAAAACACAAAACATTTTTTGGGCCTAACTGGGCCTTTAAATAGGAAAAATGATTTTCTTATTAGTATTTCATGTGACGCTTCCCTATTTACAAAAATATAATCTATTCCAAATAACATCATAACGTAATCTTCATCATTTTTGTTAAGTTACACGACATGATATTATCAATGAAGATAAATGGCTAGTATACCGAAATCTTTTGAGATATACCAAGTAAATATTAAGGATTATTATTTCAAACAGTAGGTTATATCACTAGTGGCGTAAGGCATTCTGTAAGTATTAATTTTATATTTCCAAATCTAAATTTGTAAGAATATTTTGTTATAGTATTTTCAGAACAGGAAGGTCCGTTTAGATTTATCTTGCATTGTTTGAAACACGTGTACAAATAACATAGATCAGTGAAAACTATGCCAATGCAATTCGCACTGTTTTAATAAAATAATCAAATTCTATTACATTCAATGTAATGATTATTTTTACACTTGAAATATTGCTTTAAAAAATTACTTTACCTTTCTGTCTTTAAAGCAAGCTTTTTTGTATCTTGAAATACAGCGTTTACTCTAAAGACAAAATCACGAACAGACTTAAATTTAAACTCAAATATATTATCATAAATACACATAAACACGAGGACGATTAATATATAATGTTTATCAAAATGAATTGGAGAGCTTAAAAAAGAGGTACAATTATCAGTCTTTAGAGCTCGCCAATTTTTTTAAGCAAATCACCGACGAGGATTTTTCAAATTTTCAGGTTTCAAATCTTCATAGAACATATTTCATATAAACTGGACGTTTTATATTATAAAACGCAAGTGGGCGGAGCACTAAGCCGGTTAGAGTGCATATTGGATGTTCTTCGTAAATAAGAAAGCTACAGTCGCCTTGCACGCTCCGCTTCTTTTTAGCTTTCTTATTTACGAACAACACCCAATATGAACTGTAACCTATACTTAGAACCTCGGCTGGAATCTTTACCTCCGATATTTTTTTAACAAGTCTGATATTTTTCTACTTACACCGTAATATATCGTTTTCTGCAGATTAATGCAAGCGTTTATTTATATTTTATTTTGTATTATAGCTAAGTTAAATTGTCCATTAATCTATTGTGTATATCATTTCTCTTTATTGACTAAAGTAAGAGTAATCTTGTATTTTGTCACATGACCTGGCTCATTCTGACTTATTTATGCATCCCCAAATTCTGACTGAAACCCACTTACGACTTGAAATTGAAAACAAGACCGTTGGGCAAACTCCTTGGGTTGAAAAGTCTAAAATTTTTTCTGTAGTTTTACAATATCATAAACCGTTCATTTAATTATCATAATATGTTTAAGAAGATAGACATTTTTTTTTCTCTTGTTAACGTTTATATGTGCCGAAAAGCTGACTGAATGCGTAACCAAAATGCGTTGTTGATAATATACATATTTTGATTTTGAGATAAAGCGAATTTTCAGAAAGATTTTATCTGCAGACACTTTTATCTAAATTTTATCTATTAATAAGTGAATTAAAGGATTATAAGTGTCAAGGGGGGAAATCTTCAGCACGCTTTATCTATATAGTTATATGTACATGCATTTATCGTACGTATATTATCATATTATTCGTGTGAGCTTGATTTCGCGAAAAACCCTATTGCGGATTTATGCATATAAGACGAAGGGGCTTGAAATTTAATTTCACTAAGATCAAAATACGCATGTAAAATAATAAGCATAGTACATAACGTGTATTTAAGAGGTATTGTTATTGTTTGACATTACTAATTAAAAATGTTAGTAAGAGTGAATAAATAACAATGCTAACATTTTTAATAAAAAAAAAAAACAAGAATTTGAGCGAGTATTACGACTAGTAATATGTTTTTACAAATTTTATTCAAACATGCAAGGCGATAATTAATTTTGCTAAAGATTGTCTATAGTTGGGGCAGAATAACAAAAAAGTGATATTCGGATTCAACAAAATAAGAACAAAGTTAACATACGAGCGTATTCTTTTTTTATCGGAGCCAGCATATCTTCAATAGAATGAGAGCCTGGTTTTAAATCAGACAGTTCTTTTCTATGTGAATCATATTTAACAGCATGTAAATAATTTTCATACATAAATACAATTTTGAATTGTATTTAGTAGAATTACTAAGTCTGATTTTTCGAATATATTATCCAAGTCTTTTACATATTGGTTATTTCATGATTGTTCAACTTTTCATATTGTCAAACAATAAATGGTACCAACGTTTTAATGTTCTATAAATGGCTCCTAAAATGTCCTAATTATCTAACACACATTTTATCTCATTGTTATTGAAACTTGGCAAATTAAACAATTCTCTCTATATATTATTCATTTTTGTTTGTTTGGGGTCCTCCTGGGCACCTGGCCGCTGGTACTAGATGCTAGGTCGTGTGGGTTTGCGCTTATCGAACGTCGACTTTCCATGTAGATCTTGTTTACCATGTTTTAGGAGTATTTTTCAACTTTCTTAACAATCATAAATCCCTTAGACTTCAAGCTATGGAGTAAAACAAAGACAACTGTGTTTTAAGGTACTTCTTAATTATACAGAGCAATGACAAAAGATAAGTGCATGCCTTTGGTTTGGTTTAATTTTAAGCATTTATCATATTGATTGGCTCTTTTTTGGGTTTACTTATTGTGACGGCTGAGAAAGGGATAGCGATAGAGACATCATATTCAGATGCTCTTTCATTGGTAACTTTTCCCGGGGTTTCATATTGTGACAACATGGAAGTGCTTTTATGTTTGACTATGATACAAAAGAGAATGAACATCAAAACACTCGCAAACCTGATTAATACTCGGGGGCTATGCCCCCTTCGTACAAATAAGATAACCTCTTGTTTCGATGCTCTTTCTATTACTTATCTTGTGTCCTTTTCAGATATACATGTATGTATAAATGGTATATAATATGTTAATAAAGACTGTATTATAGTGGAAGTCTTATTTTATATACTAAACTACATGTATAAACACTGAAATAAATATATTAACTACAGAATAATGCTAAGAACACATAACAAGCGCTGTCTTAAAACTGTAACATTGGCAACAGTATTGCATAGAAAAATAATTATTGCCAAATTTAAATTCTATTAACACTTAGTTGTAATCCTCATTTCCTAGAATAATCATAAAGGTTATCAAACTGGTTTTGGAGATAATTCGGGTTGGTTGTAAATAAAGCAATATCATTTGCAAATACATGTAGAAACAAATACACATACTTCAAATTGATGTCCTTATTAGTAAGTTTCGATAAATGAATAATATTACTTACATTATTGATCGAACAATATAAATAACAATGGTAAGAGAAGTTTCCCTTGTTTTTTATCCAAGCGAGATAAACACTATAGCACTGGTACATAACTGAAAACATATAGTAGGCTAGGCTTATGCGCTTGACAACGGTTTAACTGTCAGAATAATTCAGTATTGCATGTAACAATATGTAATAACCCTATAATATTTACTATATAATTTTGTTGAAACCAAACATAAGATATTCCTTGATTTTTATTTTACAAGTCATGTGTGTTCGCTGAAACATAGTTTTTTTTATATCAGAATCCTCTATAAGCATATTGTGTATATTTATAAGAACAGAATTATTAAATGTCTGAAGTACTTTAATTCAATAATCTTAAACAATAATTTTACAGTCACTGTGTATTGCGGCTTAATTGCTATGGGATACTCCATAAAACACATAAATAAAACTGCCGTTTCTCGAACACTATTTTTAATAACCTTTTTGGTGGAATTAACAGTGTATATTTGCAATATTTTTCAATCGTAACTTCCAAAGACTTCAGTCCAACATGGTCAAAATGAAAATTTTAAAGGCACTGTATGATTGAGTCGGTTATTTGATGATAGTAAGTGATGAATGACAGACTTGCGTATCGACAAAGCATAGCGTACAACTCAAAAGTTTATTCGCACCTCCAATTCAACAATCCACACACATCGATTCATTTGAATAAATTTTCAGATTTAGGATATTAACACTCGAATACAGGGATGGCGGATATCGACGAGTCAAGCAGTCATTCAGTTGGTCAATCATTATCAAGTGCAGGCCGTACAGAGGAGATGACACATGTTACTGAATCTAATGAAATGGAAACTTTTGGAACCTCAACTGATCCTGAGGTAAAAGCATACTAACATTTAATGTTATCATAGAGCATTTCTAACTGATACAAT